TTGTGGGTAAAAGTCCACCCAAACGGGACTGGCCCAGGTCAAGGCCTGAAAGCCTGCCACAAGCCTAAAGCACCTTTCAGTGGGGACCCACAGAAAAGGATCAGAAACAACCAGACAAGTCTGGGAGGAAAAGAGCAAAATCAGAATCAAGACAAAGACCGCCACTGTCACATCCTCACGGATCTCTCATCCACACCTGTGTCACCCAATCCCCGACCAAAAGGCAAGCGCAGTTTCTTCACGTGTCTTTCTGCTCTGTGTGCCTCCTCCAGGCCTCCTTCTGGCTCTCCATCCTGCTTCCTTCCTTCTCAGTCTCCTCTGCAGCTTCTCTTTTTGCTCAGCTCCACCCTCCTTAGGGTGAGGCAGGAAACCCAGAACCTCCCCCCCTCCTGGGGACCACCCTGCTACACTCCCACCACCATTATCAACCATAAACCATCATCATTGTCCCTTGGACTTTTCCCACCCCCGGTATTGATCTCTCTCCCTTCTCCCCCACTGCTGTATGCCTCGAATCTATGGTCAGTTTGTAAGTTTTGTCTTTTTTCCTGGCCCTTTGTTCAGTTTCCCTATAGTCCCTATTCCTGTAAGTGAAATCATCCAATATTTCTTTTTTTCCTTCTGACTTACTTCACAGAGCATAATCCCTTCCAGCTCCACCCAAGTTGCTGCAAATGGCATGAGTTTATCTTTTTTGATCACTGACTATTATTCCATTGTTTATATATACCACATCTTGATAAACTGATCTATCTTGGGCATGTTGGTTGTTTCCATTTCTTAGCTATTGTAAATAGTGCTGCAGTAAACACAAGAGTTCAGGTTTCCTTTTGAATTAGTGTTTTTGTATCCTTTGGGTAGATTCCTAGGAGTGGAATCTCTGGGTTACATGATAGACTCATTTTTAGTGTTTTGAGGAGTCTTCACACAGCTTTCCATAGTGACTGGACCAGTTTACATTCCCACCAGCAGTCTAAGAGGGTTCCTTTTTCTTCACATCTTCACCAGCACTTGTTATTTCCAGTTTTTTAAATATGGGCCATTCTCACTGGTGTGAGGTGGTATCTCATTGTGGTTTTAATTTGCATTTCCTCAATACTAAGTGATGTTGAACATTTTTTCATATGCCTGTTGGCAATTTGCATTTCTTCTTTGCGGAAGTGTCTTTTTAGCTCTTCTGCTCATTTTTTTAAAAAAAATTATTTATTTATGCATACAAGAACTGGGGTACAGAGGTGTGGGGGTGTGTGTGAGAGGATTCACCAGAGACAGAGTGGGGAACAGAGCAGGCAGACTGACTGAAATACACTGCTGAGGGGAGAAGCAGGTGGGTCAGGAGAGGTCTGCTGAACCATGTGTGTTGCTGTCTGCAGCCACTGCAGCACTAGTTGGATCCCTGGCTGGCGGGGGATGGGGGGGGGGAGAGCAACACACATGGCTCAGCAGACCTCTCCTGACCCACCCGCTTCTCCCCTCAGCAGTGGCTGCAGACAGCTTTATAGATTGCTTCTTAACCCCTTGAGCCAAGCCCATTTTTTCATTAGGGTGTTTGCTTTGTTTGTGCTGAGTTGTGTTACAAAAGTATCTTATGGGCCAGCACCACCTCTCCAGGAAAGACAGCTCTGCACAGAGGAGAAAATCTGAAAGAAAGTTTCCTTAATATTTTTTTTTTAAAGATTTATTTATTTATTTATTTATTTGTTTATTTATTTATTTATTTATTATACAAGCATTGGGTACAGTCAAAAGAGCGGGAGGGTGAGAGAATTTACCAGAGCCAGAGCGGGGAGCAGAGCAGGCAGAAGGAACTGAAGTACACTGCTGAGGGGAAACTGGGGAACTCTGAGAAATCCCTTCATCTCTTTGGGATTGAGTTTCTTCATCTTAAAAATTAGATATACTAATGCCTGTCTGTACAGAATTGTCATGAATAGTAGATAAAGTATATAAAAGCTTGGGGTAAAAAGCTGGTGGATTGAATGCTGTTGAAGGTAAAATGATTGAATAATGAAAAGTATGAAAATTTATTGAGGTTCCATTTCAAGATAATCCTGTGCTAAGCATTAAGAATATAAGAATGAATAAAACATAGTCCCTGCCTTCAATCTACTCAACCTCAATCTTGTACAGAGACAGAATGGCAACAAATACTTTTATTAAAAAACCATAGGTGCAGTGTACCACAGGTATATTGGAGTAGATAAATAACGAAGCAATCATCTGCAGAGATAGGTAATTTTTAAAAATGGTTTTGGAGAAGAAATGATTGCATTAGCTCTGGAAGGATGTTTCTAAATAGATGGATAGCTTATTCCAGGTCACAGAGAGCACGCAGACCTATAGAAACAGAAAGTTAGTGGGGGGAGGAAAGGGCTCTCTAAACAAGGAATAAGCTCACATCACAGTAAAGATATTAAAATGCAACATGAACACTAAATATATTGCTAGAACCAGAAGGATTGAGTTACAGTTCATTGGTCAGGGAAAGGTTGGGTTTGTCACTCAAATATATATTAATTCCTACTTTTTGCATTTTTTAATCTGTACATTTAATTTTCAGATTACAAACATTTCATAGGTCCCCAGCTTGTAAGTCCTGAACACTATACTTAATGATAAAATAATCCTTCCTGTAAGTATGCTGTGATGACGAAGTTTGTGTCAGCTCCATTAGGCTATGCTGTGTGATTGTTTGGTCAAACACCAGTATAGATGTAGTGCTGAAGGTCTTTTAAAGATGAGATTGACAGTTAGACTTTGAGTAAAACAGATTACCACCCAAAATGGAGTGGGCTGCATAGAATCAGTTGAAATTTGAGGGTTCCCTATAAAGGAGCAGTTCTACTCAGAGAAGGTAGAAAGAAGCCCTACAGGCTGGAAATTAAGAGGAAACCTAGTACTGCAGCCTCAAATCTGAAGACTGCAGGCTAAACCTGAGACTTCCAGTCTGCCTTACAATTTCCAATTAGCCTCGCCAGTCCCACAATCACGTAAGTCAATTCTTTGCAACAAACCTCTTCATATGTGTCTATATTTTTCATATCTATCTATATTTATATCTATCTATATATCTTGTGTATAATTATATATGTATACATATATCTATTTAGAGAGAAAGGAGATTCTAGAGGTTCTCTAAGTTGATACACTGTGTATATGACATTTGTGACTTTCAATGGCAAAAGCCTGTATGGCAGGAGACAGGTGGAAGGGATTTGGGCCAGGGAGTCAGCTTGACTTCTTGGAGAATGAAAATATGATAGAAAAAGAGATGAGAAAAACAAATACTAGATTATTTCACTCATGTGGAATATAGAGAAAACAAACAAAACAAATGACAAAACTAAACCAAGATAAATCCTAGAAATATGACAGCAGAATTAAGGTTACTAGAGGCGGAGGGAGAGAAAGTGTGGGAACAAAAGGGGAGAAGGCACAGTGGTCTGTAGTAAAAGACTATGGGTGCTTGGATGGTGGGGCTGGGATCCTAATGTATACCTGGGGAGGTGTGAACCTATTCCTCTAAATTATATGAAGTGTAAACCAATGTTACCTCAATAAAGTGAAAATTTTTTGAAAGAAAATTAAATATTTTTACTAGATTTGGTTTTTAAAGGACGGTTTATAGGGGTGATATTTTAGAAGTCAAGGATGGAAGGAGCAGATAACTGGTGAGACACAGTGACAGATTAAAATAGAGAGGCGGTAGCGTCGAAGAATAAAATTCCAGAGGTAGGACCAGCTGAACTCGCTGGCGAATTACATATGGTGAGGTAAGGAGTGTCTAGCATAACTCTCGGTTTCTGGTTTTGCAACAGGGTGGTCCCCAGGAAAGGGGGAGGTTCCCTGCCCCACCCAAGGGAGGGTGGAGCTGAGCAGCAAGAGAAGAAGCTGCAAGAAGAGACTGAGGAAGGAAGCAGGATGGAGCCAGGAGACCTGCAGGAGGCGCATGGAGCCTAGAGACACGTGAAGAAACTGCGCTTGTCTTTTGGTCGTGGACTGGGTGACACAGATGTGGGTGAGACCCGTGGGGAGGTGACAATGGCAGCTTTTATCTTGATGTTGATTTTGTTCTTTTCCTTCCGGGCTTGTCCAGTTGTTTGTGACCCTTTTCTGTGGGTCCCCACTGGAAGATGTTTTAGACTTGTGGTAGACTTTGGGGCTTTGCTCTGGGCCAATCCCATTTGGATGGACTTTTACCCACGAGGGGACGGGTAACTCTGGATGCTTCATTTAGAAACTAGACTCTTTGCCTTACCTGTATTGTTTCCTAGTTATATTAAAGTTCCTTCCCATTAAAGTCTCCTATGTTTTGTGTTGATGCGGCGGATGGCAGAACCCATGTAGAATAGGCAGGTTTGCGGGGTTTGGGCTGCCCCTCTCCCTGTCCTATAACAGTTTGAGCAACTGCATAAAAGGTGGATCCTTTTACTGAGATGGAGATCAAAGCGCTGACTGGTTGAAGGGAGGGCCAGAGAGTAAACCAAAACTTCTGTTCTGGACTTCAGCTTTAGTAAGATTTTGAGACACGCAAGTGGAGATGTCAAGTAGGCAATCGAATAATCAGGTGTGCAACTGGACAAAAAGGACAGGCCAGCGATGTGAGCCTGAAAAAGCCAAGAGGAAACTTAACCCATGGGGGGATGCGTTCATACAGAACGGGAAAGGGTCCCGGGTCCGAGCAGGAGGAATCTTAAGGGGTAGAAAGAGACCTAAAGGATGAAAAAACCAGATTCCAGTGAGGTGGCGCAACGCCTGCTGGGGGTGTCACTAATATTGAACGGCAGGTTATAATGAGGTCACAGCAACGTTTAGACTGCGTTAAGCCGCTGTTTTGAATACGAATCTATTGTTCCGTGGACTGAGCAGCTCGCCCGGCCACCAGCGCCTACGTCACCAGCGGCCGTGCTCACCGGGATGCGGGGAGGGGGCGGGGGAGGGGCCGCGCTGGCAGGCCCCGCCCTCAAGGGCAGAACACCCTCCGCCCCGCCCCTCTCGATCCTGTCAGGAACTCCAATCGCTTGTCGAGATCATCGCTCTGCCCAGGCGGTTGAGTCGATCTTGGCTCCCTCCAATAAGAGATCGGGGCCTAACTATGGCGGAGAAGACTCAAAAGAGGTGGGTCTGCGGTTTGAGATTTACCTATTCTTAACTTTCTGCAGCAGTGGAACCTGCCCCTGGTCGTCAGTGGCTGGGGCTGAGATGGTGTCTTATCCTGGGAGTGCGGCCTGCACGGGTCCTAAAGCCCAGACCCGGCCTCTGCCGAGGGTGGAGGCGACGGACCGGGGCGGGGGACGCAGGCCTGTGACGGCTGCGGAGTCGGTACCGGGAAGGTGTTAGTTCTCCCTTCCCACCCCCGGCTCGCCGGCCCCCTCCGCCGGGCGCCTGCGCGGAAGGGGTCCCCGGGCGGGGCTGCGTGGGAAGAAAGGGCGTCGCCCCTCCCCGGGGCGCGAAGGGACGCCCCCACCCTGCTGCCCTCCGCGGCGCTCGCTGCGACTGTCCCCCGGCAGCTTGGGGCCGCGTTCGCTGCCGGGGGTCCGTGGGCGCCCGCGCTGGTGCTGGCCGCACTGGTCCTCGCTACCTGGGTGGGCGGCGTGCGTTTGCCAAACTGGTTCGCTTGAGAGAAAGAGGCCCGCGCCTGCTGGAGCTGTTGGCCACCTGCTGGGTGTGTGAGGCTCTTGTCTGCAGCTCGGGCACTGAGGCTTTTCCAGCAGTCTTCGCTGCTCGGGACAGAACCGGCCTGGAGGCGAGACACGCCTACGTCTAACTCTCCAAAGGCTGCAGAGTCCAGCACCCTCTGCCGACCCGTTTAGAAAAAGAAAGCCTTCGAGCATTGGGTCGGATGTTGTTGTGCCCAAGGTCAGCAGACTCGGCGAGCATAGCCTCCAAGAACGCAAAGACAGCTGATGCAAACACAAAAGGGAGTTTATTTCAGACTCGAGTCCGGGTTCACGGCACCTACCAACGCAGTGGCAGATACCGAGAGCCTCGAACAAAGGAAGCAGGAGTCTTTTAATAAGGTTAAATTATGCTGGCAGTTACTCATTGGCTACAAGGATGTGGTCTCCAACTTTGCCCAGCTATCATTCTAAGCTGACTGGCCAGGCCAAGATGCAGCTCCAACCTGCAGGTCCAATTACAGCAAGTTTGCCCTCATTGGTTATCGGAGATTAAGGGTGGAGTGAGGGTCCAAACTATCTGTGGAATGCAGTCTTTTCCCAGCAAAATCTAAAATTCTAAAATGGCAGTTACACAGAGCAATGGCTAAGAATACTTATGCTTGGTTCCACAGATGCCATAAATTAAAATTTAGGTTGTTATTTCTACCTAGGCAGGTTACTGTGATCTTTTTCCAGAAACCAAAGAGGAACAAACATTATGTACAGTACACAGTTAATCACAGTGGAGTTGAGGGTTATATTGACTTGTTTTTTTTAATAGGCCGTTGGCAAAGCCATCCTTCCCCCCTTACCCCCGCCCTCAGCATCCAGGTGTTTGGACCACGTTTTAGTTGGTGTCATGATGAATTTCTTTACTTCCTGTCTCATGGAGAAGTTGGGACACAAACTCTATCTGGGGCCTCTCCTTTGAGCACAAAACTGAAGACAGGTCAACTCTTGTACCATCTTTTGTTCAGGACAAGTTAAATGGTAGCTAATGCTCTTCTCGTAAAAAAATATTGAGCGGGGAGTCTTAGGGAACTCCAATTGGAATTGGAAATAAGGTCTAAAGAGACATTTTATAGAGGTTACTTTATTGGACCAGGCTTAAGAAAGTGGCATATTTTTGCACACAAACCTGCTCTAAATGAAAAGCATCAGAGAAGTAGCATTAGAAGTGGTGAGCCATTCAAGGGGAGTAGCATTCAGTTATCATAGGAAAAAAACGTGTGAAGTGGCAGGTGCTGGAGGACTCTGACCAGGGCAGGGTCCCCTAAGGAGAGGGCGGAGGTGGAATGAAGGGGTGAGGGGATGAGGGGATGAGGACACTGACACTTGATCAGGGTGCAAACATCTCCTGCTGATAGCCTCAGCGGAGCTTTATTTATACATCAAAATTTGTTATTTTGATCATTGCATCATGCAATCATGTGATTTTATTTTTACATTGTTTCAGAATTTATTTTTGATCATCAATCAGTGCACAGCCCTCCTTTTTAATTTTTCTAGTCTATGATTAACTTGACTACATTATTTCCTTAACTAACATTCACTTCTCAGAAATAGAAAACAGTTGCTAGGCAGTGTGATTAATGCGGTCAAGCCAAATTAACTAAAGATTAAGCAGTCATTGTAAGATCGAGGTGGCTTCCTATTTTCTATATAGAACCAAAGGGTCCCGGTACCATGGGAACAGTATGTGGTGTGTTTTTCTCGGGCAGCCTCATCTCTGGGGCGCCTCAGAGTCTCCTTCCGTGGGGGCTTTGACCAGGCTCAGTTCCATCAGTTCTGTGGCGCTTGGCTTGTTAAAGAAGTCAGTGTTACTCATGGTAACTGAATTACAAGTTGGAGGACGTGGAGAAATATTGGGAACAGTTTCATGATCAATCATTTGGAAGGGCCATTTCTCAAATTACTGAAGCGTGCATTCCTGACACTGTCATTAATGCCAACACTCGTTGTGTTATTCTGAAGCTTATAGAAAATTTCCATGGTTTCAATAACTGCCATAAACAAATGAAAGGAAGTAGCAGGAGCCAGCTGCAGAGCTTCCCGATTTTTCTGGAATTTCCCCCATGCCCAGACCTTGTCAGACAGCATGAGTAGCATGGCCCGCGCCAGGCAGGATGTTTATTAAAAAAAAAAAAAAAAAAAAATCAACCAACAGAAGAGATGATTGGTGAGAAGAAATGATGCCGCAGGAATGAACTTTGCTTCAAAAAAGTTCTAGTCTTTGGACTTCAGCCTCCTCATCTAAAAATGAGAGCACTGGGTCACTTTCTGTTCCATGTTAAAGTTTTTCTTTTGCTTAGCAGAAGTGTTATATATCTTCTGTGATTTCAGCAGAGTCAAATGACAGTAACCCAGAAGATCATTTTTAGAATTTCTATACTTATAGAAACTTAGTGTCAAAATGATGGAGACAGACATAACTGCAGTCTTTTTTTTTTTTTTTTTTTCAATATTTATTTATTTATTTATACAAGCACTGGGTACAGTCAAAAGTGCGGGAAGGTGAGAGAATTCACCAGAGCCAGAGCGGGGAGTAGAACAGGCAGACTGACGAAATACACTGCTGAGGGGAGCAGCGGGTGGCAGGAGAGGTCTGTGTGCCATGTGGGACCCTCATGGGTGGCTGGGGATTGAGCCGGCACTACAGAGGCTGCAGGCAGCTTCGCAGCCCAGCGCTCAACCGCTGCACCACCGGGGAGGCCCTGTACCTGCAGTCTTGTGTGAGCAGGCATTTCTTGAAGATAGACCCAAGGATGACTGGTTTTCTGTTTTATTTTACTGAGAGCTTTAAGAATACTTTGTGGTAGGAAGATTTGTTCACTGAAATTTGCAGAAGAAAACTGTGTATGCCTTCATTTTTTTAGTTTTTCATATCTATAGAAAAGTTGGTGTGATTTTAAAACTATTTTTGGTGTTAATTTGCATTTATATTTAGGAATATTTAGGGGGATTCTTCTGATGGAGTGATCTCAGCTACATTTCTGGTCTAAACTCTTTCATCAACTTTAGTATTGTGTTTTCAATTACTGGGTTTTCTCCTAAATTTTCCAGATATTTCAAACTGAATTCATTTAAAATGTAACAAAATAACTTATTCTTTTAATTTTCTTTTCTATGTACTAATGTTTTTTTAATCTTCAACAGATTTTTCAAATGTTAAGTAAATATTTTTTCGAAATGTTCATCACATCATCTCTCTGTTTCACGTTTCCCTTGAAGATCTACCCCTGAGCTCCCTGTCATCTTTGCACTCTTAAGACTGATGCACAGCTGTTGTCCTAACATGTCCCTGTTCTTGTTCAGTACCGGAGCCTCTGTTTCCAGCATTTTGTCTGTTTACTGTTATTTAACAAGTACAATCCTCCAACAGCTCCCTAATAAAAGGTTAGGGAGCTCTTTTTTTTTTTTTTTTTTTCCAGCTCTTTCAACTCTGAAATGTCTTTCTTCTCCTTCCATATTTGATTGCTAGTTTGATTGGATAAATAAATAGCTCTGGTTTGAAGAAAATTTTTGCTCAGAATTGTCCTCTGGCATCAGTATTGCTATTGAAGAATTGGATTATTCTCCCTTTTCTTGTATGACTTTCTTTTTTGCATCTTTTCCATAGCGTTCAAAATGATAGTGTTCCATAATGTTCAAAATGATGTTATTTAATATCTTTTTATTAACTTTGCCCTTTCACAGTTGAGATCATTATCCTTTAGTCCTGGGAAATTTTCTTTGTGTCTTTGTTTTTTATTATTCTTTTTTAGTTTTCCCCACAAATATTTACCTTTTCATCTTTGGGGATTTTTTTTTTTTTTTTTCCATTTAGATTCTCTATCGTTTTTTGGTCCTCTAATTTTCTTACCTAGCCTTTTCTGTTTTCTATCCTTCTAGATTTTTGTTCTATTTACTAGGAGGGCTGTTTGTTTGTTTTTAAAGGCATGGCCTATAGCTTTTGCCATCACCACCACATTCATTTATTTCCTGCTTTATTTTTATTTATACAAGAACTGGGGTGCAGTCAGAGGCGCAGGAAGGTGAGAAAATTCACCAGAGACAGAGCGGGTTGCAGAAGAGGCAGACGGACCAAGACACAGCTGAGGGGAGCAGCAGACGATGCAGGAGAGGTCTGCTGGGCAGTGTGGGTTTTCTCCTTTGCGGGCCAGGAATCGAACCAGCACTTCATAGTGCGACACTCAACCTGCTATACCATCGGGGAGGCCCTTTTTTTTTTTAATCCATGCAGAATTTTTAATTTTAGTCATGTTTTTAATTTCTAGGAGCTGTTTCTTAGACGTTGATTGTCCTTTTTCCATAGATTTTTGTCTTGTTTTAAGAAGTGGTATTTTTTATTTTTCTGAATTAATTATAAGGTGTTTTGTTTTGTTTTCAATTTTCTCTTACTTCATCAACTGTTTTTTCCTCAGACTATTTTTCTCTTGTTTGTTTTCATTTATTCCT